GCGAGCATGAGGTGCCTACACGGCCCATGCGCGCCGCTGCATCGTAAGCCTTAGTGAGCAGGTCATCGGTGACCCGACATTGGAGTCGAGGGCACCTGGCCTCCGACCTCAGGGCTTCGTCAGGGGAAACTATGAGGGAAGCAATGGTAGGCTCAACAGCCGGCGTGTGGTCAGGGCCAACTCTTGCCGCATCCTGCATGGCTACCAAGGCTCGGCCATCGGACGTAAGACTGTAAAGAGCCTTAGTGTCCCTCCAGCATGCATGTAACTCCCTCAGATACTCACAAGAGGGAGGAACAGTGCGGGTGGCGGGTGCCGGAGTGCGCCTAAAGAACGCACTGGCAGGCGCTGTTTCGGGAATGGAGAGCCAAGAGGAGTGACCTCATCTGGGCTAGCTCAGTAGTGAGTAGGTCCACCCTGGAGGACAGCCTATCAGGCTTAGTCCTCTTCTTGGGCGGTGCACCCGCAGCCTCTGCGGCCCAACGCCTAGGATGGGTAGGTTGGGCTGGAGTCGACTGTGTGGGGGGAAGGCCACCCTCAGTCAGTAGTTCAACCTCGGCAGCTCTTACCGCACGAGGCATGATGGTGCAATTCATGCACGGGTCCTCTGAAAGGCCCTCCCTCAGATGCTCGAGGCCAAGACAAGAGGGGCAAAGGTCATGGCCATCCTCTGGTTAAAGAGGAGCCATACAGGTGTTAGAGCCGTTAGACCTAGCGATAGCTAGAGCACTCAGCTGCCTGTAAATAACTGGCCAGGAAACAAATATGCCGTGGAGGGGAGTGAGCACAATAGTAGTGAGCTTGAGCGTGAGCACTCTGCTAACTGGAGTGAGAAAAAATGAAGTCAGTTAATGGGTTTATGCCGTGAGAGGAGAGTGGAATACTCTCTCCACTAGCGCCGTAGCGAGTTAGCCTAAGCGAGAGCACTCTGCTAACTGAAGGCTGGAACGGGCATCCAACTGTGTGCAGGGAGAGGGGAGCGGATTCACTCTCTTCACTAGCGCTGTAGCAAGTTAGCTTTGAGCGAGAGCACTCAGTTAACTGGAGGATGGAACAGGAACCAACTGTGTGCAGTGAAAAGGGGAGCGAAGACACTCTCTTCACTAGCACTATAGCAAGTTAGCTTTGAGCGAGAGCACTCAGCTAACTGGAGGATAGAACAGGAACTAATTGTGAGCTGTGAGAGGGGAGTGAAGACACTCTCTTCACTAGCGCTGTAGCAAGTTAGCTTTGAGCGAGAGCACTCCGCTAACTAGAGGATAGAACAGGAACTAATTGTGAGCTGTGAGAGGGGAGTGAAGACACTCTCTTCACTAGCGCTGTAGCAAGTTAACTTTGAGCGAGAGCACTCAGTTAACTGGAGGATGGAACACTTTATGTGTCGTTGCCACTCTTTGCATATCATGTATACATTTTTTTACCCTGTTTGTAAAAAGTAATTTCCTTAATGTTTTATGTGAGGGAATGGAAAATAGCTCAAAGCTAAATCTGGCACTGTTACGCTTGACACATTTAAATGTTTTAAGTGTTCATTACAGTGCATTGTCCCTGTCAAATAAACGATTAAATAAAATAACCAATTGTGCGCCGTCAGAGGGGAACGAAGACACTCCCTCACTAGCACTGTAGCAAGTTAGCTTTGAGCGAGAGTACTCGGCTAACTGGAGGATAGAACAGGAACTAATTGTGAGCTGTGAGAGGGGGGCGGAGACGCTCTCTTCACTAGCGCCGTCACAGTTGGCTTGAATGAAACCACTCAGCTTAACTGGACGATAGAATAGGTAAAGAAACAATGTATGCGGTGAGAGGGGGGCGGAGACGCTCCCTTCACTCGCGCCGTAACAGTTAACTTGAACGAAAACACTCCACTTAATTGGACGATAGAACAGGCAAGGAACCAAATGTATGCAGTGAAAGGGGGGGGGGAGACGCTCCCTTCACTAGTGCAGTAGAAAGTTAGCTTTCAGCGGGAGCACTCAGCAAACTGGATGATAGTACAGGTAAAGAACCAAAAGTATGTAGTGAGAAGGAGGGCGGAGACGCTCTCTTCACTAGTGCAGTAGAAAGTTAGCTTTCAGCGGGAGCACTCAGCTAACTGGATGATAGTACAGTTAAAGAACCAAAAGTATGTAGTGAGAAGGAGGGCGGAGACGCTCTCTTCACTAGCACAGTAGAAAGTTAGCTTTCACCGGGAGCACTCAGCTAACTGGATGATAGTACAGGTAAAGAACCAAAAGTATGTAGTGAGTAGGAGGGCGGAGACGCTCTCTTCACTAGCACAGTAGAAAGTTAGCTTTCACCGGGAGCACTCAGCTAACTGGATGATAGTACAGGTAAAGAACCAAAAGTATGTAGTGAGCAGGAGGGTGGAGACGCTCTCCTCACTAGCGCAGTAGAAAGTTAGCCTTCAGCGGGAGCACTCAGCTAACTGGATGATAGTACAGGTAACAGTAACAAATTAGCGAGAGCCCTCGGTTAATTTGTACACAATTATCTCATTAGTTTGAGAGTATATAGATATAGCACAATCAGCAATAATTGGTAGCGATCTCACCGGCTGTGTGCAGGAGCGTCCGCTCTTTACCGGTCCGGAGCTCCTGGGGTCCGGGCGGTGAACACCGCGGTCCTCTCCCTTGGGAGGACGGACAGCTCGTCGCAGCCTTTGGAGGGCGAGCGTTTTTCCTAGCCCGCAGCTCCGATCAAACGATCGCAAGGCTACAGGTAGCGATGAGCTAGAATCTTAATTTTCAGTAAGCTAGCTTGGCTTCTACTCATAAGTAGTAACCTGCGCAGCGAGAAGATGAAAAAGGACTGAGCTCGTTGACAGCACCGGAACTTATACCTTCCGGGGTCATACGAGGTCACACGTGACTTTGTTGATATAAATATTCGACCTACGCAGAAGATATCCAGTGCTAAAGCACCGCCTCTGGCGGTCAGTAAGTATGAAATAGAACCCAGCTGAGCATCAATAGCTAAAACACATTTCTTCTGTTAGAGCTGAAAGCCAAAAACAATGTCCTACCTGAGCACACTTACCTTCATTGATTCAGGAAACACTTTCACTAAAACGTTTACTGTAAATACACAGGCTTTGTTGTGCATGACTAAATGGAAACACATAAGCACACAACAAAGAAAGTAGGCTGTTCACTCTCAGTTTGCTCATCTGTTATAACTATTCACACAAACAACATCAGTATTTGAGTAAGCTGTATACTTAAATTAAGTTGTGGAGATACAGGTAGGAGCTTAATAGCTTAGATTAGCATAAAGCCTGGATGCAGGGAGAAACAGCTGGCTCCGTCTGCATATTGTATCAGACAGAAATCCCTAAGAACACCTCCTGGAGCAGGTGTCAGATACGAAGCTGCTTGCCCTGATTCCAGCGCCAACGCTTGTTGCAAAAAGGTCTCCCCTGAGACTACAGAAAACCAGAAGTGAAATCAGGACTGACATCATAAAGTTACTGAACCATCCGACAGGTAACACCCCCACCACCCCCCTACACTCAACTACTATACAGCTCCAAAGTCTACATCAGAGAGGACAGATACCAAGCTGATCCATCGGTGCTTTAATCTCAAAACCTCCTCCTTTTGATATTGCTACCATCACTAACATTATCATGTATGTACTATATGAGGATTACATATAGTTTGTATCCAATATCTATTATTTGTACTTGTATAGTTGTATACAGCAACTTTAATTTCATATTTTTTACTGCTGTATTTATTTGTTCTTATTTCTGTCTTTGTGCTGCTGTAACACCTGATTTTCCTTCTAGGGTTCAATAAAGGTTTATATCTTATCTGATCTTACCTTGTATTGTAGTCTCTACTCACACAGGGTCTCACAAAGATAATGCCCTTTCTATGAACCCTCTGCCCCCACTCTGTGGCTGATAACTACATTGGTTTACAAGCTCAGGTGTGGTTGGCACCTCAGAAAAGATGTGTTGATTTGTAGAGTGAAAAGGGTCTATGAATTGCCGATCCTTTTGTTAAAAAACACTTATCTGAGTCATTCTACTCAACAATAGCATGATTTCTTAAGAGGTAAAGTCAAGGTTTGAGTAAAGAACAAAACGTGAAAAGACGTGAAGTGGAATCACTGACAGTAATCGGAGAAATAGCAAATTCAATATAAAAGTACACATTGTCCAAACTTGCACGGATAGAGAAAGATAGAGATGGAGGAAGACTGATTAATTCACACCCACACCTTCAGCTACAAAACACCCATCACATCCACTTGATCCTCTGTGAAGTGCACCTGCATGTTCTTGTCCATTCAGCATGAGTGTACGGTGAATCTATAAGTGCCAAGCACATGAGCTGTCCCAACCTTGACTTACAAATCAAAGCACTTGTTTTCAAAGAAGCTATTCAAGCTCAGTTCTGATGCAGATGGAGTTTGGTGTGCGCACAAATTGTACTAGTAATGTTGTGGAGTTCAGGGTAGTAGATTGTAGAATATATATTAAAGAGTTTGAGAAATATTCTCAAATATATATAATAGGGAAATATTCCCTTAACCAAAAATAAACTAACAAACAGTATTATTGTACAACTTTTATCACAATATAGTAGGGCTGTAACAAATTATTTTAAGCTTTCAAGCTTTGTTAATGTGTATACATTGTTTCAAACCCCTCTCTGTCACCCTCTCTCTTCTCAAGCATACACATACTGTACACACAGAGAAACACACACACAATGTCCTACTTTTGTCAGTGGAAAAATCTTGAATTCCTCCTTATTGATAATGATCCATGCTCTCCGGTATGAATGTGTCTCTGTCTCTCTCAGTCAGGGATTTTATGTGTTGGCTCTCTTCACTGAGCCATTCAAAGACTCTTATTTTACAGCAGGAGCAATATTTTTTAACATAGTAGGATCAAACCCCTCTCCAGTGATGACACCATCAATATTAGTTTGATTGATCTCCGGTATGTTATGTAACTGGTGAGATGTATTGGGGACATGTTGACTTACATTGTTGGGAGAGACTGAGAGAACACTTCTGCTTTTCCTCATTTTTCCTCGGTTGCGTCTCCCTGGCTGTCCAACCACAGCAGCTTCACATGCACACCTGGAAAACACAAATAGGTTTAGGTGTGTTAATCCTTAAGAATACGTTGCAATGAAACCACTGATGATGTGGACGGTGTACTACCTTGAGTAAGTGGACATTGTTAGATTTCACTTTCCTATTACTCCACAGTTACAGCTAAATATATTATATTGAACTGTTAGTAGTGTTTTGAGTATATTTGGACCATCAATGTGTTGAGTGTGAGTAGGAACACATTAACAAAACATATTGGTCAAAAAATATATAGGTTAAACGAATTCCAGGAATATATATATATATATATATAATATAAATAAAAGGTCAGTTCAGACGTTTCTAGGTTCAAAGCCGCAAGGCCCTGGCTACAAATGCTTTATTTTCTAGCTTTAAGTCCTGGAGGGTAGAAAATACAAGAGATCTCTGAGGATCTTAAGCTACATACATGGGTTATAATGGACAGATAGGACATAAATATAGAGAGCATTAAGGCCATGAGGTAAGATTAATTAATGTCATCTTGAAATCAATCCAAAAAGATAGTGGGAGTTCGTGTAAGGATGTGAAAACAGGCGTAAAGAGGTCTTTAAAACACATTTTTGTTTAGGCAGCTGAATATCCAACCAATTCATCAATTCATCATCTAATCGTTGCCTTTTGAGGATGCAACAACTGACATATATTTCAAATAATTGATCACAGGATTGAAGACAGCAGCTTTTAAGGGAAATGATAAACACATGTTCATACTGAAGACTGCAACAAAATATTGGTGTGTAGAACTTTGAGGTTACTTAAGGTTTTCAGGCATTTTTCTGCCTTTGTAGTTAATCACTACTGAGCTAAATATTTATGACGAGAAATATCAGGATGTCAATGTCAGGCTGTCTGAATCAATGACACTGTCAAATGGCTATAATGTAATGTGACAACAGAAGACGTGCTGTTGCCTCATCATGTTGCATTAAATCAATGATGGCAAGAAAAAACCTCAACATGACCATGTAACCAAACCTGACACCAGTAGCTAGCATAGGACAGGCTAGGGTTTGAACAATGGGAAAATACAACTACACACAGTTGAAACACCCAAATGCAGTGGGTCTAACTTGAAAAATACAAGTATTTGCTGGTTTTCAAAATCTTCTGTGTAATGAGCTAAATATCTTTGGTTATGATACTGTTAACATTTCACATTGGAAGACCTTGGTCTGTGTGAAAATGTGATTGCCATGTTCTCTTTCAGACCAAAGATGTATCAAGAAAATAAGATTAAATACAGTTTAATTGCACATAGATTGTTAATCAAAAAAAGATTCAAAATATCAACAATTACATAAAGTAGCATATTTAAAAGAGCATTGTGTGCACTGAAAGTTTACTGCAGACAACAAATGTACTTTACATTTACTGTCACAGCCACTGCCACTGTACTGAGACTAACCTGTTTAGACTTCTACCAATACATGCAAACAATAGTACATTTTGCACAAAGAAGTAGCTCAACAATTTGGAATAAAAGTATTTATGGTAACATGTTGCCGTGTACGACACAAATGTTAACTTCTGGTGAAGCAGAGGTGAAGAAAGGATGGTTCATAAAGATATAGGAGTATGCCATGTGTGGACGTTAAAGAACTCAGGTTATCTGCCTGAGCTGGGTCACATGGGATTATGAATACTTAAAATGTCAAACAACAGTACTGACATTTATCTGATTATGTCAGCAAACCGTTCTCAAATCCTCCTCAAACCAGGACATTGTAAGAATATCATTTTTAGAAATGTTATGTAATAAAATTACACAACAATCCTTGAAAAAACTGCTGTCCAGTAAATATAAAAACAAATAACAAAAGGCACCGCCAACTGATGCGTGTGTGTAGTGCAAGGATAGCATCTTACTAGAAGAATACACAAAGCAATATTAACACATATCACACGAGAACATAATATTAGCCCCCATCATGTGTCTCTTAGCTTTTCATCTGTTATTCATCTTTTCTGTTTTGATAATGCTTAGTTTTCTCTCTTTCCTAGACAAGTTATCCTTTCTTTTAGTAACCCGTGCTAATGAAACCGCAAGCTAATGAGACCTAGAGCAGCCTTAATGGTTCAGCAAACTTTAATTCTCCCTTGCTCATCATTCAAAAGCAGAAGACAAAATTGACTCCACAGCCACTGAGCCTTTCTCTAATGAGACGATTCAGGCAGTCCTTAAAGAGCCCTCAGAACTCAAATGTTCCTCCAGCGTACCCATAATGTTGTTTTTTCTTCATGATAAGATGAAATCAGGCGAACGTCAGCAATGGCAACATTTTATTCAGTGGGAGGGACTTACGGGAAAAGATGAAAGAGACCGATTCCAGGAAGACCAGGCACAATTCAGAGAGGTTCAGGGAATGATAAAGGTTCACATGGAGAATGTAATAAAGAGATACAAGCAAGCAGGTCAGACAGGATTTAATGACATCAAAAGAGAAGGCCTGAGGTTAAATAAAGAAGGATTGAAGGATGAAGTAGGAAATTAGGTAGTGGAGGAAAAGTGAGGGAGAAACAGCTGGAAGGACTAGATGAGGTCTTTCTGTTTAAAGGATATTACAACATTCTGGGAAATATGCTTATTCACTTCCTGGCAAAGAGTTCAGTGACAGCTCAGCCCAAAGACTCTTTTAAACAGTGACAAAATACACCTAACTGCACCTCTACACCTCACTAACGTTTTTTCTCCTTTGGCCCGTCTTTAAGCCCGTTACTATGACAGGGCAGGAAGTGTAGCAGGGCACTCACTTGTAATATTTAGCTACAATAATTTACAATAAACTCACCTTTCAGGCTAATGCAGAATACATACGCAGAAAGTCAAATGAGGGGGTCCCTCCTCTGGACATTAAAGCACTTCAACGCCAGCAAACACACCCTGACCATGATCTACAGGTCGCTCACTAAGAGTATTCTCACATAACTATGTCTCCTTGTATGGGAACATCTCATGGAAAGAAGCAGGCTGACCCACCAGGCCAGAAAGATCATTGCAAAAATCTATTGCAACTCCAGTTCCTATAAAAGCTGTCAATTACCAAAAAGGAAAACCAGGTCGATAATCACCCCACCCACACCCTACACTCATCCTTCCAGCTGTGGACATCTGGAAGATGACTCAAGGTCTAACAAGCCGTAAAACATTGGGACAACAAGTGGTTTTATCATCAATCTTGTTCTCATCTATCTTTCCACAAGACACAAATTATAGTATTTTCTAAATGTCCACCTATAGACAAATATGCAGACATGGTGATGTTGATGTTTGGACATGGAATATACATCCTGCTACATGATGAGAAAAAGGATGGTGCATGCCCTTGAAGAAAATGGACATCTTTCAGCTTGAACAGACAGGACATCCTTGACACCACTCTTACATAAAAACACCCCCATCATCACACACTGAAATGCAGTAAAGGAAAGGCAAACACTATAAAAGAACATGCAGTATTCCTCCTAACTGAATGAACAAAATGGCCTGCTACCAGAACTTACTAATAGTCAGCAGATTCAACAAATAATGAATGTTTATTAAAATGAACTTTTACATTGTCCTTTGTCTAACTTCACGTCAGGCAACATTGAGTGTTGATTGTTAGGATAGCTCAGAGGCATGTGTACAGCTCTTTTATAGTTAGAAGAACTGCTGACAATGAAAGATTGTTCCTATCTCTTTGTCTTGAAGAAAGTTGAATTGCACTACAGTGTTGATGTTCTAACGCAACCCTATTTTCAAACTACTCTATTTCTCCAGAACAGTCATTTTTAAAGCTGCAATGTTTAACATTTGGCAGAACTCAAATGTAATACATTTTAAAAATGAACTATCTTTATCAACAGAATGTAAAAGAGGTTAAAGACGGGAATGTGTTGCAGAAACATCTACCAATCTTGTATACCATGTTCCTGTAGAAACGATAAAAAGGTAGAAGTAGAGCTGCCCCGAAATGCATGTCAATCTGATTTATACTTTGTTTTTTGTTTTTATTTCAAAGTGACAGTAACATAACATGACTTGCATCGTTGATCCCAGTCTTGCGGGGAGGCGGTTTGGCCAGGCGTGGAGCAGTTGGCACCCCAGGAGATTCAGCTAGCACTCAAGTTGCTGCAGCGTCTGACTGAGGGCCGCTCCAAAGGGTTGTTTACTACTTTCTGCCACTTTAGATTTAGTTCAATAATCAAACGTCACATAATGTAACAGAGCGTACAGCCCCCTGTTAGTGTCAGTGCCAGAGTAAACACATAGATGGTTGGCCGACACAGGCATTATTCCAACCCTGTCGTAGTTGCTAGTATGCTTTTTTCAACGACTGTGTGAAATGTGTATTGTATAGAGCCAAAGAGTTTAACGTTTATTCTTCACTAGAGAAGGTGGTCAATCTTGCACCTTCAATCTTGACTTATTTAGAGTAAAAGCTAAAGATTGTTGTCTCTCCCTGTCATGTTTGGTTAGAGATTTTCTGATGCAAGACTTTAATATTTAGTTTGGATCATTAAGCTGAATGACGTAAATTTGATTATTCATTAAAAAAAATCCTATGAATATATATTTCACAGAGGTAATTATCAGAAGCAAGGCTTCGCTTTAGGGAGGATGAGCTGTTCAAGTTATCACCATTAGCAGATAATGAGCAGTTACAGACCAAATGTGTGTGTCAGAGCACATCTTAAAATGGTGCTCGGCTGCACAGATGTAGGAAGGAGTTTATGAACACAGATTAGTGATGTAAGTAACCTCAGGGGGTGAAGCATAATGGTACTTACGGACTGTGTGTGTGTGTGTGTGTGTGTGTGTGTGTGTGTGTGTGTGTGTGTGTGTGTGTGTGTGTGTGTGTGTGTGTGTGTGTGTGTGCATTTGTTTTAGGGTATCCTAATTAGCGACACTTCTGCCATATTAAGAACATCAGGGCAGACATCAAGACTTTCAAGGGAGCAA